AAACTGGTCCAGAAGTTGCTCTTCACATCCAAAAGTAGTCCCTGCAATTGTTGAGCCCTAGTTACTCATGGAGCATCTGAAGATTCTGCAGTCACAGACAAATTTAGCAAACATAAATCCCTAAAATTGTTGAGACAGTTACTTAACCTTGATATGGTGGTGCAATGTACTATAGTCTGCAGCAATCCCACAACAATCTGATCCATTAGTAAGAAAGTAGAAGGATTGACCAGATCGATATGTTCCAGTATAAATGCTAACAAATTAAAACTGATGACAAGAACATGAAAAAGAAACTGTAGTAATCAAATAGGAAGGGAGTTGGAAATCCCTGCAAATTTCAATTGTCTGGGAGGTGAGTGATTATCTGGCTCCTAAACTATCTAATTCAACCTGGAAGGTCAGTAATTACTGTATTAAAACTGAGCAAAAGCAATTTCATTAATAGTGTGTAGGGTGCTCCAGGGTAGTTAACTTCAAGAAGTGAATATAAGAAGGTTTCAGATTTATACACAATCAGTTGCTCATGTAATGGCAGTTTGCAGATGAACCAGAGACTGTACTTCTCTTAAAAGACCATTGTTATAGAAAACTGAATGACTATTCCTTTTTCAGATTTAATACTCTTGCCTGATTTGTCACCAAAGAAAAATATTCACTTGCCCATGCAAGAAGTCAGAAATCACAAAATATATGAGAAATCATCATCTGGGCATGATAACAAGCAATGCCCAAAAACACATCTTATAAGTATAAAAGAAAGGAAAAAACAACCCCCCCAAAAACAGACTTGAAAAATTTACACAGATATCAACACACACTGTTGGAGAGAGATCAAACCCATTATATCGAAGATTAACAAACTCAAGGCTTGTTAGAAGCATTCCTCCACAGGGAGACAAAAACCTAGACTGGCCAGTTTTTCTGGAAAATCATCCGCTTTTCCGGAAAAACTTGCCATCTGTGCTGTCTACATTGACCGCTTGAATTTCTGCAAAATCACTGACTTCCTACTGTAAGAAATCAGTGCTTTTTGCGGAAATACTATGCTGCTCCCGTTCGGGCAAAAGACCCTTTTGCGCAAAACTTTTGCGCAAAAGGGCCAGTGTAGAAAGCTCAGATTTGTTTTGTGCAAAAAAGCCTCAATCGCGAAAATGGCGATCAGGGCTTTTTTGTGCAAAAGCGCGTCTAGATTGGCATGGTCATTTTTTGCGGAAAAGTGCTTTTGCGGAAAAGCGTCCGTGCCAATCTAGATGCTCTTTTCCGAAAATGCTTTTACCGGAAAACTTTTCTATTAAAAGCATTTCCGGAAAATTGTGCCAGTCTAGACGTAGCCATTGAGTTTGCCAAGTGTCTACATTGCTGCCTCTATGGCAAGTAAAAGATTTTAACAAACTAGGCAGGTATTTCAGCCACCAAATAGTAAATGTTCTAGTGAATAAAAAGTGTGAAAGTTTATTTGACCTGACAATTTTCAAGACTGACTGGTGCAGGCTGAAAAGAACACAAACAAAATTGTGTTAATTGATATTGAAATACCAGGAGATAGAAATATAGGAAGGAAGGAAGGAAAGAGAAGAGAAGAGAAGAGAAGAGAAGAGAAGAGAAGAGAAGAGAAGAGAAGAGAAGAGAAGAGAAGAGAGCTAAGTATGAATAACTCTGATATGAAGTGGAAAGATTATGGAAAACTAGAACAAAGATGATCACCATGATTACTGGAGAACTTGGCACAATCATTAAGGGTTTGATTGAGCAGTGTAAGAACATGGAAGTAATGCAAGACATCACAATCAGTGACAAACCTTCAACAACCTAGGCACTGCAAGAATTCTAATGAACGTCAGAAAACAAAAGCATTTGTGGGACTAAAATGTGAAATTCAGGAAACTTCTGACTCCCCAAACCTGTGGAGTCATTTGTAGTCAGGATTTATTGGTGACTCATGGGAATACATTTTAAACTGTAGTTTTCTCCTTTCTATGCTTAAAGATCTTGTGTGCTGTGAAAGCTGTTTAAAATAAATAATACCCATGATGTAATACTGAGGGATATTACTACTACTACTACTACTAAATATTTTTACAGATGCCTAAAGTATCTTTTAGTATATTAGGACGTACCTGCTTGCATCAGTTCTAAATGTAAACCTCATTACATTACAGGAGCAGTTATTAGCTGTCAGAATAACAAATGATAAAGTATAATTGAGGATTCACAATTGTTTTGAAAAAGGATTTGGGACATATTTAATATTTGTCATCCCATTGTTTCTTCTGTGTGTGCACATATATGTGTGTGTGCATATTTAAGTGCACTATAGAGTGCTGTGTATCTCATAAATTTTGTAGGGGATTTTACTTAAAAAACATTAAAAAATACTAGGGCTGAGTTGTGGCATTTAGGCACAGCTCTGCGTTAGATGCACTGTAGAGCCTCACCACCAGGGAAGAGTATCAGAAAACATTCTGCTTCAGAAAAGTACAGTACTTCATAAAACATCTAAGAGGCATAGGGGCTGCTGTTTGGGGCAGCCTTGATATTGGCTGAACAAGGTCGGGGTGAATGTCCTCACTCCTTTCTCTCCCATTGTCAGGTGCTTAGGGCTTGCCATGATTTGACTTTCATCACCACTCTAATAAATTGGGCCAATAGCTAGGGAAGAGAACCACAACTACTCTGTTAGGTGTCTCTGAGCAATGTATTGAAGGTACGCAATAATATGGAAAGTCATTTGCTGGATGTGGTCTGCAATCCTGTTAACCAAGGGCATGTCTACACTGGGGAGTTATTTTGAAATAACTCCCCTTATTTCAAAATAGCAAGGTGAGCATCCACACTACCAAGCCTGTTATTTTGAAATAAGGGGCTTGTTATTTTGAAATAAATCCTGCTTGTGAGGAGGAATAAACTTACTTTATAAATAGTTATTTCAATAGTTATTATTTCAAAATAAGTTATTTTGAAATAACCTCATAGTGTAGACATAGCCCAAGTGTCCTATTGTTCACTTTATGCTTCTTTCTGGCTTGCCTATACCTGTCAAATGACCTTTAAAAATATTTTGAAATGCAGTTATATTCTGTAACATGACTCTCTCCAAATTCTGGTACCACTTGACAACTTTTATGCCATTCTCATTTGTTCATTTTATAGTTTTTCCCCCCCTGCTATTGATGCAAGCTTGATATGGGATCTGTTAGTCAAGTTGTGTTAATGCATTCATTACCACAAGTAACTAAATATCCTAATCAGTGGAATTCAGTTAACAATTTTGTTCATGATTTAAATTTCAAAATATAATCCAATTTACTTCACCATATTATAGCTCCATTGGGTCTGAAATGCTAAGAAGAATCAAATGGAATAGACATAAGTAGATATGGCTAAGGGTATGTCTAGACTGCAGAGCTATTTTGGGATACTGGAAATATCCCAGAATAGCAATGCCACATCTTTAAATGTGCCCACTATTTCCTGAAAATAGCGGGCGTGCTATTCTGGCATCCCTGTAACCCTCATTTCCTGAGGGTTAGGAATTTGTCAGAATAGTGCCTTATTTTGAAATTTGGCTCTGTCTACACAACACCAAATTTCAAAATAAACTCTTTTAACCTAGAGTAGGGTAAATTGCGTAGATTATTCCGACAGAAGGGTGCTGTCTAGACAGAGAAGAGACCTTCTTAGTAAGACTGTAGTATTTTTATAGTTACCTCTCTTATATTAATGTTTTACATTCCTTATTTTAATAATCTCTAATACACAGACTCTCCTAGAATAATGTGTTCCGGTAATTCTGAAGGTCTGGACAGATGCTTAATTGTCAAATTTCTGTTTCCACTGGGATTTGCCAATTAAGAGGGCTTTATTTTATTTTATTTTATTAGGGAAAAAGGTTTGACTATGTGCTACCATGCAAAACAATAAATCCTCTGAAAATTCAAATTTATGGTGTATTCCAAAATGTATGGCTAACTATATGCAACCTCCCCCTATAAAATTTAAGGTGACAGAGTTGTTGAAGCTTGGAATCTATATGGGTAGAAATGACATTGTTCCTATCTTTGGTTCTGCACCCTAAGTTCCACAATACATCTTAACTGTTATCTGAACTAGCTTGCTTATAAGCATACAGGTTATACCTAATTTATTTTAGGGGCCATGCCATGGCCTTTATGCTACACACTATCATAACTAGCTGTGTGAGAAGGCTGATTTAGCAGACTATGCTCTGGTGTGGGACTCAAGAAACCCAGGTTCAATTTTTGGGTTTATCACAAACTTTTTGTGTGACCTTGAAAATCACTCTGTGTTTAGGGCCAGATTTATAAAGGTATGTAGGTGTTTATGGCATCTTTCTGGCCACTAACTCCCTTAAAAGCTTTTAAAATTGCTTACCTAAATAGTTCTACAGATTTAAGTTTTTTCTTGCACTATTGCAATTTTGTTCCCAGTTTTAATTTAATAATCTAATCTTTCCATTCCTTTAAATTAAACAAGAGTTAATGTTTGTTAGAAATTCTTTTGAAGATAAACAATATAGTTCCCTAGAGTACCAGTGTTACTTAGCAGTTAGAATGTGAGTTCTGTCCCCAGTTCTGCTTTTTGTTAGCTTAACAAGCTTGGGCAAGTCACATATCTTCTCTATGGCTCTATTCAGATTTTTGTAAAACAGGTATAATAATTAAATGCTTCACAATGGTGTTGGGAGTCTCCATTAAAGTTTGTAAAGCCCTTGAAAATGCTCAGATGAAATGTGTTGTATAAGTTACTGAAATATGGCCCATGGTAAGAACCTTGATGTAGTATCTTGAATTGGAGAGTGCAGTAAGTATATAACTGAGATATTTAAAAATGAGATTTGCATTCCACACAGTATGACCAGATAAGAACTTTGTTGTAAGAATGCAGATAAAATTTGGTGATGGAGTCAAATAACAGTTGTGGGGAAGACATTATGGTGATTTCACTATGTCTGTCTCTTTGTCATTCTGTTTTTATAGTATCGTTCAGGACGAGATCCTCAACGAGGCTCAGACAATGTTTCCAATAAGTCTTCAGACAGTGATGTCAGTGATGTGTCAGCTGTATCGAGGACAAGCAGTGCTTCTCGTTTCAGCAGCACAAGTTACATGTCTGTCCAATCAGAACGACTGAGAGGGAACAAGAAAATAAGGTGATTAATGGGGAATGGAGAAGTTAGTCATTTGTATCTATATTTTAATGTGTAAGATAGTTTTCTAGCGAGTGCATGGGAATATTATGCTAAACTTTAACATATATAATATAATGAAAACTAATAGGCTGTGTCTACATTGGCACCCCTTTCCGGAAAAGGGATGCTAATGAGACCAGTCGGAATTGCAAATTCCGCGGGGGATTTAAATATCCCCCGCGGCATTTGCATTTACATGGCTGCCGCTTTTTTCCGGCTCGGGGTTTTGCCAGAGAAAAGCGCCAGTCTAGACGCGATTTTCCGGAAAATAAGCCCTTTTCTGAAAGATCCCTTATTCCTACTTTCAAGTAAGGGATGTTCTGGAAAAGGGCTTATTTGCATCCCTTTTCCGGAAAGGGGTGCCAATGTAGACACAGCAATAGAGTTTTCCAAAATACAAGTTTTAGTTTATTGGGTTTCTAACACTCTTAATTCCCTATGCTAATATTTTTTGTAAGTCAACAGAGAGATTTTATTATGTGCAAACTTTAGAATCTTGAAATGAGTCCTGCTAGCAGAAGGTATTTGTTACACTTAGTTCTGCATCTTTTTTGGGGGTGGAGGAAGACTCTTGAACAATACTGAACACTGTTTAAGGGATAATTTTATTTACAAAATACTCACCGGTAATCATAGAGATGTTACAACGTACTTTATAAACTGGAGCTAAGACAATCCTGCTGTATCTCTATGACTGAATTGCCCGACTTTTAAAGTCTCACGTAAAGTGTTTATATACATGCACACATACCAAACTCTGCTCTAAATATATTGCTGCGCAACTCCAAGGGTATGTCTACACTACAAAGTTAATTCGAACTAACAGACATTAGTTTCGAATTAACTTTGATAGGCGCTACACATACAAACCGCTAGTTCGAACTTAATTCGAACTAGCGGAGCGCTTAATTCGAACTAGGTAAACCTCATTCCATGAGGACTAACGCCTAGTTCGAATTAAGTAGTTCGAATTAAGGGCTGTGTAGCCACTTAATTCGAACTAGTGGGAGGCTAGCCCTCCCCAGCTTTCCCTGGTGGCCACTCTGGGCACCACCAGGGAAACTCTTCTGCCCCCCTTCCGGCCCCGGAGCCCTTAAAGGGGCAGGGGCTGGCTACGGTGCCCATGCCACGTGCAAGCCTGCCAGCACCTAGCCAGCAGACCCTGCACCTGGCATGGCTCGGGCCCGCCACCCACCGGCCCCCCGCC